GCAGCACAGTGAGGGCGGGGAACAGTCAGACCATGCCCACAGCCTGTGGGCAGGGAGCCCCTGGCAGAGCTGCGAGCTGGACTTTGTAGATGCTTCCAGAAGGCTGGGGCGGGCCAGACCTGGTTTCCAAGTCCAGGAAGCAGCTTAAAAGCAAAGGGAAACAGAAAAAGGCTGGTCGTGGGATCTCATAAAGCTCAGGACCTGCCTGAGTTGGGCAGCGGCGACATGGAACTCGGCAGGGATGAGGCCCTCGTGTGGGTCACGAGGGGCCAGTCCTTGCTGCAGAATGGCGTCTGAAGGGCCCCCTGATGTGCGCCACAACCGGGACCTCTGTCCTCCCCCAGTGAGGCTCCCACACATGTGGCTGTGGACCCCAGAGGACTCCTTCCAGAGCATCTGCAGAGTCCCAGGACCACCAGACTCTGTTTTGCCAACTAAGCACAGTGGGCACTTGGCACCCGATGTGGACTGTCTCTGAGCCCCCTGTGGAGGGGCTGCAGGCTTCTTGTGCTGCGTGTGTGGGTCCCGCAGGCTGGAGGGAGGCCTACCTTTGCAGAGCGCAGGGTGGCAGGGACACGGTGAGGGTGGCGGCTGTGACGGCACCACATCGGAGCAACTCCTCCGCACTGACATCTTCTGGGGCTCAGAGAAGGGGCTGGACTTCCCAGAGGAGGGGTGCAGGGCAGGGGAGAGTCCCCACGCCTGTGAGGAGAGGATCAGGGCAGGGTGGTGGAGGATCCATGGCTGGGCCCCCAGACCCCAGGAGGCTGTGCAAGCCATGTCAGAGGCGCTGGAGGATGGGCGGGCCACCAGGTCCCCCACCGCGGCTCAGACCCAGGGGCCTGTGTTTCAGAAGGTGCTCGGCCCTGGTGACCCCACAGGCCTTGCCTAGCCGTTGTGTGGAATCAGCCGCAGCCGTGTTTGCCGGCCTGGAGGTTGGGGCTGGAAAAGTGCCCATGCGTGTGGGAGCAGCTTTCCTACCGAGGGGACGAGCCCTGTCAGCTGGCCTTGTCGGAGCCAGCCACAGCCCGTCTGTCCTTGATGGAGCTCTGGGCGCTCTCACGTTGGATAAGACGTTTGAACTCGTGTGTGGCTGGGTAATGCTTGGGCCACCTCCAGTCTGCCTCCTTTTTGAGACTTCAGGCCCTCATTTCTGCTCGCCAGGTAATTCCTGTCTCGTTTAGGGGCCCCTCTTCCCCCGGAAAGGAAAAGGGACTTCATGGAGCGAAGGTCTTCTCTTACATTCTTTTGAGTATTATTGTGCTTTGAACGTGGATGATTCTTGGTCAATATTCATCCGAGTCCTTAATCATCAGAAGCAAAAAAGACCCTCCCACCTCTCCCAGAGGACCCCTTTGAGTCACACCCATTCGGTCGCTGGTTCATTAACCCACACCTGTTTCTAGTTCACCACCCGCCACCTAGGTCTCTGACAGCGAGACCAAAGTGGGGTGTGCTTGTCACACCAGCGGCAGCCTCGCTGGGACCTTCTTGTTTCATCCTTACCAAGGGCCCCAGAGCACGAGGGTCTTGTTCTCATGAAGCTGAGGGAGCGAGGCGTCCTGGGTCCTACAGCCCCCATGTGCTGCTGAAGGGCCTGTTGGGGGAGTGGGTGGCAGCACCGAGGCCAGCTTTGAAAAAGGCTGTACCGGCTCACCGAATCCGCGGACCACCATTCTTCATGCAAAAGTGTCCTTTACTCTGTTAATAAAAGAATGCACGGTGGGCTGGGCGCAGTGGCTCACGCCTGTAATTCCCAGGCACTTTGGGAGGCCGAGACGGGCGGATTCACGATGGTCAGGGATCGAGACCATCCTGGCTAACCCAGTGAACCCTGTCTCTACTAAAATACAAAAAAATTAGCTGGGCATCAGTGGCGGCGCCTGTAGTCCCAGCTACTCGGGAGGCTGAGACAGGAGAATGGCGTGAACCCGGAGGCGGAGCTTGCAGTGAGCCGATCTCGCCACCGCACTCCAGCCTGGGCGACTGAGCAAGACTCCGTCTCAAAAAAAAAAAAAAGAAAAAAGAATGCACCGGTGGGCACAGATTCCTTCAGAGCAGGTTGAATGTCTTCCCCTTGGATTGGAGTCCCTGCTGTTAGAGCAGGGAGCCGGCGGTGATGGCGGCATCCTCATGCTGCGCTCATGCCGGTGTCAGGGGCCCCCCTGCCATCTGGAGTGAGCAGGAGGCAGCCAGGCCAGGACGGAGCCTTCCCAGCTGAGGTTTGGAGTTCCGTGCCTTTTGGTGCCGAGGGTGAGCGTGTTCACGGTGACTTCGTCCCTGGTCATGAGGAGGTTCGAGCTAGGAACCCCCTGCAAGTGGTAAATGCATCCGGCTTGCTGTTCTAAGTGGAGACGCAGGCACAGCTGGGACCTGGGCCCCTCAAAAGCAGGCACCTCACTGGGACGTGCTCCATCTGGGGCTGCTGCAAGAAGCTGGGCTGTGGCCCGTCCTGAGGTCTCTGCAAGCCCTCACGGGAGCTTGAGGCCTGGCTGGTTCTTCTAAGGAGTTGGCCGGGGGCCATGGGCTGCCCACAGTGGGGCGTGGCCTCGGGCTTGTGGCCTCTTCAGTGAGGGCCTCCTGGCAGGGGACTCAGAGCGCAGCGTCAGCTGGGGGCTTCAGCATAGACCACCACATGTGTGTCTCTGGGTGCTTGGTAAACGACCCTGCGCTTTGGTGACAATTTTTTGTCTAGTCAAGTGAAGCAGTGGAAATTCAGGGAGCATCTTTTTTTTTTTTTTTTTTTGAGACGGAGTCTCACGCTGTTGCCCAGGCTGGAGTGCAGATGGCGCGATCTCGGCTCACTGCAAGCTCCGCCTCCCGGGTTCCCGCCATTCTCCTGCCTCAGCTCCTGAGTAGCTCGGGACTACAGGCGCCCCCGCCACCGCGGCCCGGCTAATTTTTTGTATTTTTAGTAGAGACGGGGTTTCACTGTGGTCTCGATCTCCTGACCTTGTGATCCGCCCGCCTCGGCCTCCCAAAGTGCTGGGATTACAGGCTTGAGCCACCGCGCCCGGCCAGGGAGCATCTTAAATCTGTTTTATTTCTAAGTGATTGATTTCAATTCCCACCGTCACTCTTAGACCGAACCAAGCATCTGAGGTACGCAGGCTGCAGAGGGCTCTTTTCACAGTGGGCTTCTTTGCCATCTGGCATCTTCCGGGTTGCCCTGCTCTCCTGTGTTGAGGCGTCATACTTAACCTGTTCCCCACATATGAAAGGCTCTGGCCACCCCGCAGCCCATAGGCCCAGGCGGTGTGCGTTTGTTTGAAACAATTCATGAAGAAGGCACCTTCTCCTCTAGCCTTGACCAAGCCCTGCCGGTGGTGCACCAGGCACCACACAGCTGGCCGGGCCACCCGCGCCTCCTCTCTCCTCCTGGGCACAGCCGCTCTTGGTGTGGCTGCCACAGCTTCGTAAAGAGAATATACTTCTTTATTTCCTTATGGCCACAGTGACCTAACAACGCCCAGCAGATGGCCACAGGGTCTGTGGTCCCCTGGATTTCAGTGGCACCCGGCCATCACTCTGGGACTCTGGGTGTTAAACATGAAATGAGGCCCCCTGAACAGCCGTTAGACAATTTTTTTTTTTTTTTTTTTTCCTGGAACAGGGCTCTCATTCTATAACCCAGGCTGGAGTTCAGTGGCGTGATTACAGCTCACTGCAACCTCTGCCTCCTGGGCTCAAGTGATCCTCCCACCTCAGCCTCCCAAGTGGCTGGGACTGCAGGGTGTGCACCACCACACCAGTAATTTTGTTTTTTCTTTTGGTAGTGATGGGGTCTCACCATGTTGCCCAGGCTGGTCTCCTGGGCTCAGGTGATCCGCCCACCTCATCCTCTCAAGGTGCTGGGGTTACAGACATGAGCCACCGTGCCCAGCCCCTTAGATAATTTCAAGGGTAATTCTGAGGCTCTAGTGAGGCAGCTGAAGAAACTTCAGATGTGATTCCAACTCAGCAGAAATAGCCCGCCCTCAGGATGGTTGCCTCCTGGCTGCTGTGGTGAGGCAGAGGAGGACGTCTTCCCAGAGGGCATCCCCAGTGCCAGGACAGCACCACCTTGCCATGGGGCTTCAGGCCTGCTGTGACCCCTTGGGGAAAGTGAGCCCCATGGCCACCTGCCCAGTTCCCAGGTCTTGTGTGGTCAGAATTCCTGGTGGCCCTGAGCCCAGTCACCTTCCTGTTTCTGTCTGCGTTTGTACATTCTGTGTGCATAGAACTGTGTTTGCCAAGAAAGTCCAGCCTTGTGAGCCCTGGCTTGTGCGTCTCGGAGCTTCTCTGCGCCTGGGTCCTCCAGGTGAGGAAGCATCTTCAGGGTGTCCCCAGGTCTGACATGCATCCCCATGACACACACCAGCCTGTGTGTGCTTCAGCTGCTTCCAGGGGTTCCTTCACAGGCGGGGGGTCAGGCACGCACGCCAGGACTCCAAGTAAAGAACCAGAATAATAAGCTTTATGTCTCAGATACCTGGACTTTTGCCGGCTGGCGCCCAGCCCCAGAATCAGCAGGTCCCCATGCCCGCCTCGTTTGTGAAAGTGGGTGCTAGCACAGCCCTTCCCTGGTTTAGGGGTTTAGGTTGGGCTCCTGCTGTGGGTTTCCTAGTCTCTTCACAGCGTTGCTCTGGTTCCAGTAACAGGACCAGGGCCAAAAAGGTGTTGCTAAGGTGATCTGCTGTTGGGTCCAGTGTGGAGGGACCTGAAATGCCGGGGATGCACGTTCTGCTGCAAGACAGTCAAACCCCAAGCCCACCTCAGGCCCAGACCCCATGGGTACGCTGGGTGCAGGCCTCGGAGCAGCCTGCACCCCACTGCATTGGCTCTGGAGCCTGGGCACAGGCGACCAGTCCACCATCCTGCGTCACAAGCCTGCCTGCCTCAGGCCGCTTGGGTGTGGGGGGAGGTAGCAGGGCCCAGCTTTCTCAGCAGCCCGGGGTCCTGCCCCAGCGACATGGTGAGTGACTAAGCTGGGTTTTAACGCTTTGTCGTCTCTTTCCTAGTGTCGGAGATGTATGCAGTGTGACGCCAAGTTTGACTTTCTCACCAGAAAGGTGAGCTGAGGCTGCTGAGTGGGGGTGGTGGAAGAGGGAGGGGCCCTAACAGGACAGCTGCCCTTCTGGCAGGGACGGATGTCATCTTGTGGCTTGTTTTTTTTTTTTTTTTTTTTCTGAGGCGGAGTTTTGCTCTTATTGCCCAGGCTGGAGTGCAGTGGCTCCATCTCGGCTCACTGCAACCTCTGCCTCTCGGGTTCGAGGGATTCTCCTGCCTCAGCCTCCTGAGTAGCTGGATTACAGGCACCCACACCACGCCCGCTAATTTTGTATTTTTAGTAGAGATGGAGTTTCACCATGTTGGCTAGGCTGGTCTAGAACTCCTGACCTCAGATGATCCTCCCACCTCAGCCTCCCAAAGTGCTGGGATTATAGGGGTGAGCCACCGCACCCAGCCATTATGGCTCGTTTTGAGTGTCAGCCGTGCCCTGTTTCCGTGGAAGTGACTGGGCTGATTCTGCTGGATGCCATGGGGTGGGGATGCAGCTTGCGGAGGCCTGTGCACCTACCTCTTACCCTGCCCTGTCCTGCTTTGCCCTCGCTAAGTGTGTTGCCCCTAATGTGTGCCCAGCTCATGGCGCCCCGAGGCCCCGAGGGCGTCCTAAGCAGTGGGACTTGGGGTAGTTGAAAGAAAGAGCTGAAAAACAGCCATTTTGATCCACAATTTGAAAAAAGGGCCTCATTTCCCAGGTGAGGCGAAGGCCCTGCTGTGGGTGGGGAGCCCAGGGGCTGGCGTCAGGAGGTGCGCGTGTGCAGCGACCAGGCAGGGGGGGCCTCGCGTTTAGGCGCGGCCCGGGCAGTGCCAGGCCAGCAGGGTCCACACCCGGGGCCGCTTGTCCCCTGCCCTTCCTCACTGCCAATCCCTGCATCTGCCCAGCACCACTGTCGCCGCTGCGGGAAGTGCTTCTGCGACAGGTGCTGCAGCCAGAAGGTGCCGCTGCGGCGCATGTGCTTTGTGGACCCCGTGCGGCAGTGCGCGGAGTGCGCCCTGGTGTCCCACAAGGAGGCGGAGTTCTACGACAAGCAGGCTCAAAGTGCTCCTGAGCGGTAAGGGACGCGGTCCTGCAGTCCTGCGCGCGCCGCCAGCCGGCTCCTCGTGTCTGTGGCGATGCTGTGGGCTGTGCACAGGGCGTTCTGCTTCTCTTTGACGTTCTCTAACGCCTTCCCTCCCTTCCCCGTTTTCTTCTGGATTCGTTTAGAAGCAGTTATAGAGCCTTCCCTCTCTTCAGAGTTGGAATGTCGTCTAAAAATGTGGGTGCTGACTCCGCTGGGCACGTACATCAGGTGGGAGGGGAGGCCCTGGGCCCAGGCACACCTCCCCAGGTGGAACCCGGCGCCGGCGCTGGGGCCTTTGCGACCAACGGTGGCTCCTCGATGAGGGTCCGTAGACCTTTGCCCCGGTAGACGATGCGCAACCGGTTTTTTGAGCCATCTCTGGGGACCTGGTGTGGGAGAAGGGCGTTCTCCGGGGGCTTATGTTGTGCCTCCCCGGAATCATCTGAGCAGCGCCTCTTTCTCCCCACTGCCCGCCCACCTCTGGCCACTCCGTCCCAGCCTCCTGTCCCCAGCTTGCCCGCCATGGGGTCTGGGACCACCTGCTTCCCGCCCACAGCTCCGCCCTGTGTGAAACGGGCATGGTGCCTGGTGGACAGTGGGCTTTGTTGTGCTTCCTTTCTGCTGTCTTGGTCCTGCCAGCTCTTAGACCTGCGAGCAGAGGGGTTTATTGTTCTTTGATCTGGACCTTGGTGATGGATTCCTGCATCCTTTGAAGGATGTAAAAAAATTTCTAGGAGCTTTGTAAGCAAGCAGAACCTGTTTAGAGCAGACCTTTTCGTTTACCTCTTAAACCCTTGATCCATGACTGCCTTTTTGCTCAGCTGAAGAGGTCCTTAGAACAAAGCTGTGGTTTGTTTCTTGATGTTTTCACTCTGTCCTCTGTGTGTGCGTCTCCTGCTGGTACTCGTGGGAAGGGTTAGGTGGAAAAGAAGCAGACCCTGTTCTCACATTTGCTTTTGTGTTCCCAAGGAGCCACCTTCCTCGTCACGTTTGGAAACTCAGAGAAACCCGAAACTATGATTTGTCGTCTTTCCAATAACCAGAGGTAAGAGCCAGATCCTGCTTGGCACGGGGCAGCATTGTCACAGACCGGGAGCCTCGGTGGCACTGAGCCTGAGAGTGACCCGATTTGGACACTTTTATTTGATGTAGATACTTGTTTCTGGATGGAGACAGCCACTATGAAATCGAAATTGTGCACATTTCCACCGTGCAGCTCCTCACAGAAGGCTTCCCTCCTGGAGGTAAATGCCAGCACGTCCTTTCCTAAGCCAGGAGGGTTTGGTGCCATGCATGGGTGACAAGAGGAGCGTCCACTTTTGGGATCAGGCAGCCACCCTGAGGAACGGGGTCTGCTGGGTCTCCAGGACAGCCTGCCTTTCCTCTTTGGGGGGCGTGTATTTACTCAGTGGCTTTAGAACTCGCCAGGTGAGTGGAGACTTAAACCGTAAGACAACAAAGGGAAATTTGCCTCAGCATGTCGTAATGATTTCCTCTGCTCTAAATGCTGTAATGTATCATTCCGTTTATTGTTGGACTCAAACCAAGGATAAAGCCCCAAATGCAATAACTGAGATCCCCAGAAAGGTCTGAGTGGTGGCTCATCGGGAGCCAGCACTTCAGCCCTCCTCCTGCAGGCGTCTGTGCAGACCAAACCCCTGGTGCGTTTCCTGGTGAGCTTTGGCCCAGCCTGGGCCTCTCCACTAAACTCCGCTGACGGGGAGCTCGCATCCTGTTATCTGCAAACTGTGCTGACAGATGCGCGTGCCGTAACCCATGTTGCTTTCTTTCCGTTCTCTCACCGGCTCTTGGGTGCTCCTTCTCGCCACTGCCTGCCCACCTTCTTGCCATAGAAAAAGACATTCACGCTTACACCAGCCTCCTGGGGAGCCAGCCTGCCTCTGAAGGTCAGCCTCTTCCTCCTCGCCGGGGCTCCCTGCATGCGGCGGACCCGTTCCTCCCCTCGCCACCTGGCTTCTGTC